ACACACACACACACACACACACACACACACACACACACACACACACACACACACACACAGAGGCAGCTGATTCTGCCATTGTTGTTTTTTCATACTTGGCAGCGGCGCGGCAACTGCTGCGCAGAATTACGCGAAAACGCCGCGCAGTTGGAACAAAACGCCCTAAATTGGGATAACATAATTCCTGTAACGACCTGACCTCTGATTAATTTGTAAATGCGTTGGGTGATGTTTCATTTCACATGGAAGAAGAGCCATCGCGCCCTCTCTCCTCTGTTGAAAGGACTCTGCAAATCTAAATGCAGAATTGTTCTGCCTTTTTAAGTTAGAAACGGTTAGAAAACACTTCGTTCTGAACGGTGAGGAACTAAAACGAACGAAAACGTTCTGCAGAGGCAACGCCCAACGTCGAAAGTCGCCTATTAAGTGATGCGTCAATCAGCGACTCGAGTAGTCCAGCTGCTACGACAAATTAGATTTGTAATTTTTGAACTTTCAGGGGGTACTCCTGGAATAATTGTCGTACAAACGCTTATTTCTTGGTCTCCTTTTCTGTTCCCGCGGCACCTTCCGAACCGCAAACACCAACCCCTCCCTCCGGCCACCCCACCCGCTCTCCCCCATCCCCGCCACCGCGCTTCTTCGGTCGCCGCTGCTGGGCCGAAAACGCAATTCGCACACTGCATGTCCTTCCGGGGGAAATTGCAGCGACCATAACTCTTGGGCCGCATTAAGTATGCCGTGGCGCTGTACGTTGGCGCGACACCCGAGGCGCGGGCCGCGCGGGGGTGGCGGGGTTGGTGAGGCCGGGCTGGGCGGAGATTCTTCCACCCTCCACCCTCGTCCGCCCCGTCCAACCTCGTCGCGCTTGACCCGGCCCGCTATTGCGGCTCCCTAACCGTGCCATCACCACGAGATTGCCGCCCGCCTTGTTGCCGACGAGGAGGCCTGCGGTGCGGAGGCCACCCTCTCCACCTGTCCGAGTAGAGGTCCTCGCCCTCTCTACGCACGACGCTTCTTCGAATCCATCTTTTACCTTATACAGGTGATTTCGTTGAATTTGCAATTATGAGTAAATTTCTCATAATTTTCAACCCCCTCCTCTATTGTGTAAGGGAACACACAGAAAATGGTTCCATCGAATTAACGGAGAATCCCTTGGATCCATAGAAATTTAACCAATGGAAAATATGATCGAATTTCTCTCAACTACAAGCTATTTTCCATTACACTATGGGCATTTATCCCTTAAATCTATAAAGTTGAGTCGAGAGAAAAATTCTTTCATATTTTCTTTCCATGGAATCAACGGAACCGTTTTCTGGGTGAAAACGGACACATTTCTTGCTCCACATTTTCAAAATGTTATCGGACCTTACATGGATACTTGGCTGCTAAAAAAAAAAAAACACCTCATTGTCAATCCCTTGTTATCGTTTCTTTAAAATCACTTTTCGGTACAATAAATCGTAGTGCGAGTTGGTATCACAAAATCGAATGTCAAATTTAATGACCACGGTGCAGACCACGCGCTTTTTGTCGCGTGCCGCCGCAGCGTGGCGGAACAAATCACGACCTCACACATTTTCTTGAATTTCGTGTTGTGTGGTTATTATTTATGGGGCGGGGGAGGAGCGGCGCGCGAGGGGTGGCTATGGGGGTGCGCCTCTGGGGTGCGTGCCGGCGACAAGCGCACCCGGGGCTGGGTGACTCCCCTCCTCCTCCTCCCCTCCTCCTCCTCCTCCTCCTCCTCCTCCTCCTGGAGGGTCGAGGGAGGGCGGGCGCCTCCTCGAAATGAAAGAAAAATTGGGGGAAAAGATCGTCCTGCTAGCTCAGGGCGCGCCTCGGCCTGTTCCTCGGCCTGCTCTCACTCAGCCTAGCTAGACTCGCTCCACTCCTCTCTCTCGGCCAAGACGACGACTGGGCGTGGCGCGGCGGCTGTGCGCGTCCTTCTCTCAAATAAACGAGGTTTATAGAACAGCTTCAAAATGAATTATACCGGCCGTAGGCTCCTCCCCTGCAACCTCGGCCGCCCTCGGGGCGCCATGTCCTGTGGTGGTTCGGACTTGACTTTTATATCTTTTTCGCGCTGTTGTCTTTCGACACCTAAATAGTTATTAGAGGGGTGGGCGAATAGAGTACTTAAAATTTTGGAAAACAAAACGACAAAACGCAGCCACTCTTTTGCCAAACTATAGGCAAATGTCGTTGCCTACCAAACGCGGTTTAAGGTCCAGCCGACAGGGGTTGCTCTGTCGGTTGCCTCTATATAGAGGGCAGGGCGCCTGCCTGAATTTTAATACAATTCCTACAATTTTTTGTATACGGGTGCCCGGACGCTATTCATGCAACGACCTCAAATCTTGATAAGCCCCCCCCCCCAATCTAACCCTACGCCAATACCGGCCACGACAGATAGTCGGAGATAAGATACGTGCGTCCTCCGCGGATGGGGGCCCATTAGTTGAGTCGCGGAACGACGGTGTGTCTATACAGAGAGATGAGGGAAATTAATTTATGGGTTTGAGTGAAATACGCCACTTGAATCACAAAGGTAGGACTTCATCGCACATTTTGTTATATTTAATTAAGGCTTTTGATGCAGCTGGCATCTTCGGGTGAACACTCTTCAGAGAGGTTTGCTTATGGACAGTAAGTAAGATTAGGTTAGGTTTCATTTTATATCAGAAAACACGCCCTCCTAGAATGCATACCAAAGCTTTTCGCTTTTCACCGGTTAAAAGTCCAGAAAATAGAAAATTGATAACTCGTTAATCTGTGTTCACACTACCCGGATTACCCGACCATCACCGGAGAGAGTTCACTCAAAAAACGCGAAGCATGAAATAGTTCGAATTAAATGCGGCATTTCATAAAATGCAAATGGTTTTAATAAGTCTAGAAGAACCAAAACGGTGACATCATTATTGTACTGGAACGAAAATTCCCTATTAGGTGCAAAATCACTCTTCCCAGCCCTCGGTACGTTTCTTATCCATCATTATTTCTAGGCGCCGATAATCTCTTCGAACTGATAGTGTCGCGGCCAAGGGTACGACAATCGAGAAACCGTCGTCATCCGTCCACGATCACCGAGTATATTTCCTCGTCTACTGCTTCTAGCAAGATGGCGGCACAAGATCCTGCTGCATGGTGAGAGACCTTTCTGCAAAACGCCTACTCTTCCAAGTACTTTCGCTCGCTATGTCGCCCGTTCTTCTCACGCCGCAGGTTGAGGTCGCATCGCGAGCCCAGCGCGAGGAACCTGCTGAAAGTCACTCTCAGGCTGCGGTCCGGGCGTGGGCAGCCGAATTCCAAGGACCTGAGCGGCGCGCTGCTGGAGACGATGCGGCTCAATAACGTGAATCAGTTCCGCGAGATACTGTCCTCGGTAGCGGACGACCGACTGAAGGAGGACAGTCTGACCGCGGCGTGGCGCAAGGCCCGGGCCGGTCTCCTTCTCCCCCACTCTAGGAGGACAGTCTGACCGCGGCGTGGCGCAAGGCCCGGGCCGGAGGACTGCCTCTGAACGAAGAAATGGAGCAAAATGCAGTCCACGCTATGGTTCAATTACGATATAAACTCTCCCAGGGAGCGCTACAATATTCCTCGCGGCCCCTTGCGTGGAAGGCGCTGTGGAGCTTAGTGGACCAACTACTGGACGACGCGGGGAAGCTACTCATACTGCTAGAACGAAACCCCGAGGAGGCGGACGAAACCGTGATGCTCGCTATGCGCTCGGCGCTGGCCATCCGCGCCCTGAAGGGGTACTTTAGGCGCTCGTACGACGAGCAGGTTCCCTGGGAGGAGATCGAGTACCTCCTCGCGCTGTTCGTAGAAGCACAAACCCGCTATAGCACCCTCGCCTTTCTTGTGACTGGCACCGACAGGATTACAACGCACCTGAAGTTTTTCCTGGAGAAAGTAGATGAGTTGAGAAAAAAGTACCACGACCGTCCAGACTGTGAAGATGCTATGAAGGAAATGAAGCAGCCTATAGGAGAAAGGTCCCAGGTAAGAGCACAGGTGGACGTTGACCAGAGAATGGCAGCCATTACCGAAGACTTTGTGCTGCTGCGGGACTGGCATTCTCTCGGAGAGCTCGTAGATGCACTCAAGACCGCCATCGATGCCCTGCAACTATCGGAGACGGACTGGAAAGAGTGGGGCTGGCTGGCATTGCAGAGGAGCCTCTTCCTGGCGGGGGAGAAGATGAAGAACACGTCGGGATCACCGAACCTGTCGAGTCACTACGTACAGTTCGTCGAGCTGGCAGTGGCGGAAGGCATCCGAAAGGTGCTGTGCAACGGGATTCGGGACACCCAGGAGCACAGTCCATCGGGAACTAATGCAGATGCGCTGACAATGTCTGTCCTTGAGTCTAAAGAAGAGAGACAGCGTTTGGTAGAGGACCTGAAGAGAGTACTGAAAACGGTCTCAACCATGCTTTTGGAGGCTGAATATGAATTGGAGAAGAAGCGAAGGAATTATCTTGACGCTTGGCAAACAATGAGAGTAAAGGCCTCACAACGAAAGGCAAAGGCAGATGCCGGTGATTTGGTGTATTCGGAGGTGGAAAGCATACTTGAATGGGAAAATAAAACAAAAAACGTTAGTGATATAACAAAATTGATAGACGAATTAAGAACAATGGCATCCAACCGGAGATATATTGAGGTAATACCCAGTCTCAAAAAGGATTTAATATCCCGAGAATCGAAGCATTTTAACGAGATTCTGTACGCGGCTGTGGCTAAACACTGCCCCCAACATATTCAAAGGATTCTCCAACTTCTGGAGTGGAGATGTGCGCAAAGTCTACGTATCTACCAAGACGATCTGAACAAGGCCTTTAGTACTGGCGTTGGTGACTCCGGTACCGCGTCCAGCAGAGCCGTGGGACGTGCCGTTTCCGCCCTGAAAGCCATTGAGGACTGTGAACAATCTGTAAAATGCTATGCTGTCGAGGGTGGTCTTCAGGCATTGGCCTCGCGTTGGCACAAGGATGACCACACTCCACCACTACTCGAACTGTACTCGCCGTCCTTGTTCGGCCGGAACCTGAGGAACCACTTGAACCACGATGACCTGGCCGTGCGCCTCTGCTTTCCTACATCTATGGAATTGTCCAGTCTTTGGACACTTGTTAAAGACGGAGGTGTAAGTGTCTCGGGGGGCGCAGAGCCCAGACGGACATCAATAGAGCCCACGGATGAGAACACCGCGCTGTTGCGTCTGGTGCAGCTCAAGGGCGACTTGTTCCGCGGCGCGCGTGAGGGCGACCTCGTCAAGGTGCAGCACGCGGTGGAGCTCGGCGTGGACATCTCCAGCAGGGACTGCCAAGGCCGCACGCTGCTGCACGCCGCTGCCGAGGCCGGCCAGGCTCACGTCGTGGACTGGCTGCTGCGGCTGGGCCCCGGCGCCGTGGACCCGCTTGCCCGGGACTGGAAGGGACGGAGCGCTCTGCACAATGCTGCAACAAAGGAAGTGGCCGAAGCGCTCCTCACTGCAGGCCAGGGTGAGTTTAGCATTTTTCAACCATCTCACGATTTATCTTAAGAAGAATGTAACCGAAGATAACAGATATCCAAAACTTGTATTAGGGAGCTGCAGCGACATGAAATAGGGTATTCCGCTGGAAGAAAAGAAGGAAAGCATGACTGCTCGATCTGTTTCCTAAACGCTGATTGGTAAACGATGACGTCGGTGCGGCGGTAATCCAGTGAGCGCGCAGAAGGGTACAGACCGAGAAAGGATGCTTTTCTTCTTTAAGCTCCGGCTGGCTTACAGCGGGACACCCTGATATGATTGACCAGCCCCGTTACTCCATACAGTCATAGCGTAGACATCGAAATATGCCGTGCTTACCTCTAGAAACTAAAATGCATTCTTTCTTTCAGTGGATCCCGACATGATGTGGTTTACGCCTCTACACACCGCGGCGCGCTCGGGGAGAGCTGAAGTGGTCCAGGCGCTCATTCCTCATTTCGACCTCAATGCGCACGACAATGCCTGGGACTTAACACCCCTGCACCTCGCTGCACTCGCTGGCGACCGTGGCACGGTGCGTCTACTGCTGCTCGCTGGGGCGCGGTACGAGGTTAGTGGGGAAGCCTGCACCCCGCTCAGCTGCGCAGCGCAGTCCGGCAGCGCTCCGACGGCGAGTCTCCTCTTGCAGCCGCCGCCGCCGCTCCTCCCGCGGCCGTCAGACGCCGACTGCTGGACCGCTGCTGGTACGGGTGCGGCAGGGGCGCACCGGAGCCTGGAGGTGTTCTCCACGCTCATGGCTGAACTCCAACGGCGCGGTGCTCAGCTGGCCGACCCGGCGGTGTATAATGCTGTTAAAGAACTGGCTAGAGGAGGCAGCACAGAAGCCGCTGCAGCGCTGCTCGATCGCTGGCCGGTCGCTGTGCACCTTCAATTCCTTCCTGTGGGTAAGACAATTCTCTCTTTCGCCGCGTCATATGGTCACGCAGACCTGGTACGCACCCTCCTGCAGCGCGGTGCCGACCTGCTGCAGCGAGACCGGAACTCTATGACCGCGTTGCATGCCGCGGCTGAGCAAGGGCTGGTGGAGGTGATCAACGCGCTCTGGGACCATACGGACTTCACGCTCACGGAGCAGAGCCCAGCAAGAAGGGAAGCTCTGGAGCGGCTGTGGAAGGGCGACGGGGAGAAGGCGCCACCACTGTGGGTAGCGGCAGACAACGGCCAACTGCCGGCTGTGGAGAGACTACTGGAGCTGGGCGCGAACATAGATTCGGGGAAGCTGAAAGACCCATGGGCGTCGCCTCTCTACATAGCTGCTTATCGGGGGTACGACGAGGTCGTGCAAAAGTTGATGGATAAGAAAGCTCGTCTGTACCACAGCCGTGAGAGTACCGCCACGCCACTGATGGCGGCCGCTGCCAATGGCCGCCTGGGCGCGCTGCAGCTGCTTTTACCGACCGGCCCACTGGGGAAGCAGGAGAGGAGAGAACGCCTTGACCTGCTCGAGGGCTTTTTGGGACCCGACGGGGAAACACCTCTGCACCAGGCCGTACACTCGGGCTCACTCGGTGTGGTGAAGCACCTCTTGGAATGGGAGGAGCAGCAGCTGATTCCGTACTACAGAAAGATGACTAAGAAAGGCAGGTCGGCGGTGTGGAAAGGCCTCACCGTGTATCGTAAAGACAGTAAAGGGCGCACGCCTTTACAGTGGTGTGTGAT